AGGAAAGGCACTGCTTATACGATCATCATGAGACTGTCCACAACAGAATACACAATGTGTTCTAGGAAAGGCATTGCTTACACGATCATCATGAGACTGTCCACAACAGAATACACAATGTGTTCTAGGAAAGGCATTGCTTACACGATCATCATGAGACTGTCCACAACAGAATACACAATGTGTTCTAGGAAAGGCTTTGCTTACACGATCATCATGAGACTGTCCACAACAGAATACATAATGTGTTCTAGGAAAGGCATTGCTTACACGATCATCATGAGACTGTCCACAACAGAATACACAAATGTGTTCTAGGAAAGGCATTGCTTACACGATCATCATGAGACTGTCCACAACAGAATACACAATGTGTTCTAGGAAAGGCATTGCTTACACGATCAGATCACTGTGAGACAGAATACACAATGTGTTCTAGGAATACGATCAATGTGTTCAATGTTCTAGGAAAGGCATTGCTTACACGATCATCATGTCCACAACAGACTGTCCACAACAGAATACATAATGTGTTCTAGGAAAGGCATTGCTTACACGATCATCATGAGACTGTCCACAACAGAATACACAATGTGTTCTAGGAAAGGCATTGCTTACACGATCATCATGAGACTGTCCACAACAGAATACACAATGTGTTCTAGGAAAGGCATTGCTTATACGATCATCATGAGACTGTCCACAACAGAATACACAATGTGTTCTAGGAAAGGCATTGCTTATCACGATCATCATGAGACTGTCCACAACAGAATACATACACAATGTGTTCTAGGAAAGGCATTGCTTACACGATCATCATGAGACTGTCCACAACAGAATACACAATGTGTTCTAGGGAAAGGCATTGCTTACACGATCATCATGAGACTGCCCACAACAGAATACACAATGTGTTCTAGGAAAGGCATTGCTTACACGATCATCATGAGACTGTCCACAACAGAATACGTAATGTGTTCTAGGAAAGTAATTGCTTACACGATCATCATGAGACTGTCCACAACAGAATACACAATGTGTTCTAGGAAAGTAATTGCTTACACGATCATCATGAGACTGTTCACAACAGAATACACAATGTGTTCCAGGAAAGGCTTTGCTTACACGGTCATCAGAATACACAATGAGACTGCTTACACCACAACAGAATCCACACAATGTGTTCTAGGAAAGGCATTGCTTATACGATCATCATGAGACTGTCCACAACAGAATACATAATGTGTTCTAGTCCACAAAATACACATTGCTAGGAACGATCATCATGAGACTGTCCACAACAGAATACACAATGTGTTCTAGGAAAAGCATTGCTTACACGATCATCATGAGACTGTCCACAACAGAATACATAATGTGTTCCAGGAAAGGCTTTGCTTACACGATCATCATGAGACTGTTCACAACAGAATACACAATGTGTTCTAGGAAAGGCACTGCTTACACGATCATCATGAGACTGTTCACAACAGAATACACAATGTGTTCTAAGAAAGGCACTGCTCACACGATCATCACGAGGCTGTCCACGACAGCATACACAATATAGCAAACTAGATCAACAATGTGTCTGGGAATCTGCTGTAATAAACGTCAAAGTGTGTGCAAAGCAGATCAACAAGATGCTCTATTCGAGAAACACATATCAATGAACATTTTGGAAAACTCAAGAACGCCGTTGTGACAATGCAACTGCGACAATGCAACTGTGGTGTCAAAACAGACATTTTTAGCATTATAGGACGTTTTCAGTCAATTAAAAAGGAATATTCAGATGAACTCCTGCGTTAAACACGTAACAAAAAAGGATTAAGTACTGTACAAACAACTCGTATATTGGTTATAGTTTCACGTTACTGTTACCAAATTGATTCGATTTGTTTGTTGAAATTGTTTTGTCTAAGGCTGCATTCAGCAACTCTGCACCTATATGACAATACAGTAAATTGGCATATTAGTTTATAATTTATCTCTCCGTCGATTGTATTGTTTATTTGTTCTTTCACACCGCACCCGTGAAGGTCAGGGATAGAATATTGATCTTCAGTTACCCATGCTTGTCGTAAGAGGCGACTAACGTGATCAGGTCGCTGACTTGGTTGACATGTCATCGGTTCCCAGTTGCGCAGATCGATGCTCATGCTGTTGATCACTGGATTGTCTGGTCCAGACTCGATTATTTACAGACCGCCGCCATAAAGCTGGAATATTGCTGAGTGCAGCGTAAAACATAACTCACTCACTCACTCAACTCACTCTTTCACATCGCACTCAGCAGCATGCCTGCTAAGTGACAGCGGTGTGGACTAGACAATCCTGTGATTCACATCAAGGATCGAAATTGCTTCGAAAGAGAAATCGTATTCCAAACATACCAAAAGTTACTTGCTGCCAAGAGTTCAAGGCTAAAAGTAATCAAACTTTAGAGATTACCTTCAAGTCATTTCACGGTACTAAAACCGGAAAGATAAATCAATTCTAAATTACCCAACGAAAATATATTATGCATTTATTATTCATAAAATTTACAGCATCACTCTGAAAACAGCTGTAATAAGGACTGGATCCACGTCCCAAGGGAGCGATAATACGCGTGTATTCATTGGAAATGGGATTGGCGTCAAATTGCATTGGATAGTGTCAAGAGATCAATATGAATGTTCTGGTTATCTTCAGTTCCTCATAATCAGTTCCGAACTTTTTATTTATGCTTGTGGAAATTAAGAAATCGGGTAATGATATTATATCACTATTTTTTATGGTATTGTTTGAAGATTCCTCAAAATGTCATTATCTGACATCTTCCAGACTGGCTATGATGAAAAGAAGAACCAATTTCGAATTATAACATAGATTGGAACGGAAACATAATGATTTAGTTCATTCAAAGCAACCCAATTAATTAGTAAATATAGTTTTAACTAGTGTTGAGATATCCCAGCAATATCGCGTTAGCAGAAACCAGAAATTGCTCCAGACATACCATCAATTGCAGCAATCGATCTTGTGGTTTAGAACGAATATAAACGTTGAGGCCTACCCTAATGGCCTTTTAGTATATACCATGACACAATATGTAATATACTGAGAGAAACAAATAAAAGATTACAGGAAATTCCTTTATTATTTTCCACTTTTCACCACAGTGCCATTCAGAAAACTGGAAACGCTTGCAGTTTCCTGTGATCCTTTATTTGTTTCTCTCAGTATATATAGGTAAAAATGAGCTGGGTAGCCAATTGGTTGGAGACTGTCTCTCAAGTTGAAGACCACGGTTTGAGAGATACAAATTGTCAAACGATCCTTGTCATTCCTTGGACATTCCAAACGTGGAAGCATGAAGTCGATATTTACAAAAACGACGTGTTTAGAAGCCAAATGGTTTGGCTCTCTGTAAATAACGATCCGACAGAATATCAAAATCGCCAAATAGTCATGTCTACACCTGTATATTCCAAAGAACAAAAAAGTCTGTGCTCCGACCGAGGCCATGCAACTCTGGCTCTACACATCAGAAGGGAGCAAAAACGAGGACAATCTACAGAAGCAAGTTCCACATGGACTCGTTAGCCCCAAACAAACTGAACACGTGCATCTATATTTAATGCTACACAGTAGGAAAACAGCATAGCGCCTAGCGTTTGAGAATAGTGAATAGAGGCAGTGCCTATAGCAGGATTACGTTACACAACTGGCACTTCAACTGTTGTCATATATCACAATATCCAGGTACCGTTAAGTGTCGCCATATCATGTGGAGACGATCTCGCTCATGAAATAATGCTTTTTAGATTGAATTGTTTCCTTGACTGTTACAAGACAAAATGGTATGCATACTTCATTGCGTTTTACACAATGGATGTAAACTAGATCTGGATGACTTAATATGATTTGTGTCCAGTATTTGTGTGCGATTGACATGTTCTATACAATCTACTGATCGTGTAACAGGGCCATATTGATTGGACACATCATTCATATATCTGAAACATGGTATGCACATATCGTTTTACTCTGTCAACACTGTTTCTATTGGTTCGTTGGGCCACTTCCATAAGGGAGTGTTTTGTTTGGGATGGAGGGGACTAACTTCATCACATTGCGTGATGGAGAGTATTGAATATCTTCGGCAGAGCGTAGAGATTGTTGGTCTTGTTGGTGTCTACCACAATAAACGGCCTGGAATAATCCTGAGCAATAGATATATCCAACAGATGCATATTGCATAAGATTGTAGTTATGGGAACAGTTTGTAGATTATCATCGTTCGTATAGTAGCAAAGGTTTGAATGCAAATTATTACGTCAATCTATTACGTCGTTCAAGATTTAAAATGCAATTTATGAATATTTAGCCAGGAGTTATTACTATTTTGATGTTTCGATGAAACTAAAACTATAAAGTCGCCCAAAATTAAATAGGCTGTTTATAAAAAAAAATTGGAAGGCGTTATTACTATGTAATTGTTTTGAAGAAACTTCATAGTGTTTTAAAATATGCACTTTTATAAAAAAAGATTATTGTCAAATATTTACGAACATACTTACACGCCATCTGATTCCTGATGAAGCCAATGATACTTTTATGTCATTTGTTTACACGAGACTGAGTCCTGTGTTTTGGCAAATAGTATGGCACATGATACAGGAAAAATGAATCAATACTAAAAATACCATATTAGATATATACCTCACTGATGACGCATTCATACACTGGTTTCGCTTGCCTGATTGCACTGTAGAAACATTAAAACACTACGTATGCTCATTCGAGCCCAGGTGCTCGCCCTCTATGCAATATACATACATTTTACCTGGAAATGACAAGACGACATCGATTCTTACGGCATGCATGAGAGACGCAGCATTTCCGAAGGAAACGGTCCGTCAAGCGTGACTGTTGCTTCTTGCCATCCTCAACAAATAACAGCTGGTAAAGTTTACAAGGTTTCTGAATGTCAAACAGATCATACTCACAGCATGGGGTGATTCCGTCCAGTTCATCTCACTAAATGTAATATACCAGCTCTCGCATATTGCATATAACGGATGGCATCCCGGGAGTGCAATGCTGGCAGGCTTATAATGATTAAAGCCAGGATTGACTCTCCTCTCTCGCAGGCTGCGGGTCATTCACGGACGTCAATCAAGCAGGAATGCGTCTACTTTTGTATCACGTGACACAGACAAAGTCACATGACATGAAGTTTTAGTTAGTGGTATGTTTGTTGAGAGCTCTACGGTGAAGTTTATTATCAGAGGTAATAGGGGTTCTGACTCCATTGCGTAAATATTCATTACCATTTATATCTCTAATAACTGTAATTGGATTGGTTATGGGGAAACAGTATGAGACAACCAATTTAAAGTTCTTGAACACAATTATATCGATCATCTCGCAAATACATTTGATTTTAAACACATTTCTCAGAGGCAAACAAAAACAGAAGATCTAAACTCAAACAGTGTAAGTGAGTTTAGTTTTACGCCGCTTTTAGCAATATTCCAGCAATATCACGGCGGGGGCACCAGAAATGGGTTTCACACATTGTACCCATGTTGGGAATCGAACCCGTGTCTTCTGCGTGACGCTTACACCACTAGGCTACCCCACCGCCCTCAAAACTCAAACAGAGATTGTTTTTATGAATGTCGATTATATATCTAGAGAGGTACATGTTTAGATCCAATTATATCGGTTAAACCTGCAGGAAGTACAACAGACACTGTCGGTAACTGTGGCCGTGTCATTCCAGGTTCATCTGCTGGGTTGGAGCAATATTTTCAGCTTAGGCTTTAGGTGTTACCTGGTAACGATATTGTTCCCTGCATTGTTGACTATAGATTACCAAAACTAGTTGTTAATGATTATAAATACACATAAATAATGTGAAACTTAATAATCAGTGTACTTGTTCACGCTGTGATATGTAGTAATTCCTGGTGTGACTGCGAGCATCCACAAGCATAACAGCTTGTTGGCTTCATCCCAGCAACACACAACGTTTTAGATTGATAACGTCATGACACAACGTTAGTATTACGTATGTTTTTAACGTTATGTCACAACGTGATAACAACGGTGCAACTTTACGTTGAGGAAACGTTATACTTTGGGCTCCTCGAAACGTTATAACAACGTTTCATACAACTTGTCACGGACCGCCTCCGTGGTGTAGTGGTTAGAGCGTCCGCCCGGAGAGCGGAAGGTCGCGGGTTCAACCCCCGACCGCGTCATACCGAAAGACGTTAAAATATGGTACTTGTTGGTCCCTGCCTGGCGCTCGGCATTAATGGGAACAACAAGGACTGGTCGGCTCGGAGTCAGTATAATGTGTCTGAGTGGGGTATTCATGCTTCACTGCGGCATGGTATCTCAGTGGGCTAGCACTATAAAACCAGCTTAAGTCTGGGTTAGTACAAGCAGCCGCACCTACACATACACACGCATGCACGTCGTCATATGAGCGAAATATTCTCAAGCACGACGTGAAACCCAATTTCACCTCACCTCACCTCACAACTTGTCACGATAGATTTTTCTGTAAACTTTTCACTTTGAGATTCTTTCTTCACTATTCAGATACAGCTTCAGAAAATATACGACCAAAACAACGTGCAAATTGACGAATAAATATTGAAGTGAAAGTTTACTTTGTTTCTTATGTACTGTTCACTGCTGGGACAACTATTCAACTATTTACGTTACATAAAGCGTTAAGACAACGTAAATACGTTAGCATCACATAACGTTACCTTGTGGCGACGTAAAAATGACGTATCACAATGTCAGGCCACAACGATGTGACAACGTAAATGTGAATCCACAGAATAACGTTGCAACAACGAAAGCAGAACGTTGTGACAACGTAAAATTGTTAGCTGGGATATTGGAATATAACCCAAATGATTCAACACGTAAACATTCATCGTCTTTGTTAAATGTGTGAGTCGGGCATAACGACTACAAACCAAGGATCATAAAGGACACACCTGAAATACAACGGTGAGCGGATCCTAGCAACTAAGGTATGCAATCCTGTCAGCCGTTATGCCATAATGCTGACCTCAGTTTGCTATACTGGTGATTGTTCAGGATCGGAGTGACCCAGATTCTGACTCCGGGGACCCGTCAATACCATGGTTAGAAATGGTCTCCAGCAACCCATACTTGTAAGAAGCGACTAACGGGATCGGGTGGACAGGCTCGCTGACTTGGTTGACACATGTCATCGTATCCCAATCGTGTGTATCGATTCTTATGCTGAGGGAGGTATAAAACAACAAACCAACAAGATCCGAGTATTCTGTGCAGTCAGCTGATATGCTGGTATTTACTTTTTTCTGTAGATAATGCATGTCATTTTGCTGTCAAGATATAAGGGCAATTAATCATACAGCAATCGTTACAAAATGCAGCATTTGCCGCCCAGGTCAACATTTACGGTTGTTAAAATGTGATATTCCTAATAACTGAAATACGCCCACGCATTTTGAGCTATAGATTTCATAAATCAAATCTCTCAGCGACGTGGAAGAACAGGTTAAAATGCACATCGAAATAGGGAAATTAAGCTTTTATGTACAAATTACTTCTCTTTATCATTTTTATGTGCACATATCCTACTAAAGATTTCATCAGCATCTGTTATGCCACTGATGATATACTACTCTCTGTCGGGAAAATCGTTTTATTTCAAACTACATTTTAGTTCAAATAGGAATTTATGATTTGTTGTCCCATGCACCACTTGACATTATTGTCGAAGCACCCCAGCCGAGATGATGACAGTTTGGCGTTGCCTGTAAAAGTTTTAAAGTTCATGTAGCATATAAACAACACATCTCACAAACTAAAAGATCACCATGTGATGACTGAAAACCATCTGACATTTTGTTATCTGTAATTTGAATATTTACTAGCATTGTTTATATGAAATTATCCCGTCAACATGAAATGGGCATGGTTGCGCAATTGCTCTAAGATGTCAAACTGTTCGTTGTGTTCTTTCCCGTGATTCACAGTTTGATCTCATCCAAGATTCCATCCAATTACCATCTTGACTTGCAAGCACCACACCCACGAGGGCTTAGATAAGCCAATGTCAATGTCAGTGAAGCTCAGTATTGCATTAAATGACGTTCATCGAATGCAGTTGCTCCATAACCGATGCTAATGTTGATGTTATAGCTAACATCGCATAAAGCGAACAGGTACAGATAAAGTCAACCTATATTTTTAAAATTCAGCATGATATCAGCATTGGTGGGATGCATTCTAAGATATGAAACGGCCAAACCCACATAACGACATCTAATGAAACGCCTATGGTCTACATATATATGGACACGATCGTTGGCACATCCAAACACTCCTGACCTAGTGCCATACATATATATAAATACTTACATATTACAGCTGAGAAATACTTGAGGTATACTCCAATTTGTCCACACTCTCTACACCAAATCCTACAGGGATTGCCTGTCGGTATAATGACACCTTAAAGTTTCAGTTCCTGAGCTTGGATTCATCCATCAACAGAGGTTGCACAAGCAATTATGCCGAGCCTGCACGTCAAACGCTCACATTCTCGGCACGTTCTTGAAGGCCAATTATCCTCAATCAGACATATTGCAAATCACCTTTCTGTGGGGCCTCCTCCGCTGTACGGGAGACACAAGTTGCCAGTATGGCGTAATGGGCCGGATTGCATTTTCTGGCATTGGAGCTGTGTTTGTTCATATTTGGGCTAAACACTCGAGGGGATGTGTAAATTGTTCGTGCGTGTTGTGAATATAGGTTGTATCGGAATGTTCCTGTACGTATATGTGTATTCAGAAAACAGTTTTAAGATGATAAAAATGATGCATGATCTGCATAAGAAATTGCACAATCAGTTATGCATCACCGGGAACCAAATATTGGTAAGTATTGTTGTAACAATTAAAGTTACATGGGACTACCAAAACGACTTACATGACTGGCCCACTACGTAAACTACAGCTTCAATCTATAAACAAATTAAATGCTCTTATCTTTGTTAATATACACTTTCTTGATAGAAGCCTCGTTCCTCTATTACATATTTACAATATATATGTGTGTATAAAATTTACGTTCAGACTGCTTTTATTGATCAATGTCCTGCTATTACATAATTTTAATAACACCGATATTTCCGCTACAAGAACATGACTCAGAGATAATTGGTTTCAACCTGTGTTTTCGATGTTGTAATTCCAGGATATAAATAGCTTTCTTACAAAAAAGGCTCTGCTAAATTGTGTAAATGAGAATTGGTTCACCAATATAACTGAACGATGAGTATGATTGGTGAGCGGCTTGACCAGAAAACATTAAGAGGCATCGAAGCCTCAAAGTGTGGATCAATTGTGGGAGTATGAATCACTAGTTTGCATGTTCCGGAATTAATTACCAACATTGTGAAGCGGTGTGCTATGGGCGGATTATTGCTAGGTACGGCATAAAATCACACACAATCAATTTATATGTTGCCTTGGCACACGTTAACAGAATTAAAGAAAATAACTTGAACAGGAAGGTTTGTTAATGTATGGGAAAAGCTGGAACCTTCATTGCCATCAACGCTCCAACAAACGACCATGTTCTTGTTGTGTGCACGTGTCATTGATATTTTGATAATTCTAACCTTTAATTCTGCGATTTCTCATTATTACGTGCAAAGAAAACATGGCGACGGAGAGTCAGTTCGATTTAACCCTGCTTTGAAAGGAATTATAAATATATAACAATGCGTTATGATAGTGAGAAAGGGTAAGCCGAAGAATGTGTTCATATTCACCACTGTGTTGAAATTAAGAACATCACGGATATAACAAACAATCCAGAGACCATAAGAAAAACTATGGGATTCGAACCCACGATAACAGGATCCTGACATGCCAATTGGGTACATTCTGTCAAGGTAACTTAGCTGCGCTTGACCCTAAGAGAGGGATATGCTACTGGGAAAAGTGTATACACTTTTAAGATAGCAGGAATAAGAAAAGTGGGAGGTATCTCTTTATTGAAGACTATTAAACATCGGTTGTAATCTGCTGCATGACCAGATGGGATGTTTACACCATTACCAAAGACAATTACACACTCACACCTCAAAGTTAAT